TGTGGTGATGTAGGGGTTGTTTAATTATTTAAATTTTTATAGGCTTTCTGACCCCAAGACACAACTAATCTCTGCAATTCTCCATCTGTGATCCTTGAAGAGTCTATGGCCACTCAAACTTTCATCCTTACCGTCCATTAAGGCAATATAGACACATGTCCTTTTCCTGGCAGATTCGTAACATCTTTATTTGTTTGGAACTTCTTAATTATTGCTCTGATGGTCAAAATGGGGATTTTCAATTCTTTAGCTATTTTCTTACAGCCACTTTCTATTTTGTGATGCTCAGCAATCTTTTGCTGCACATCAGAACTATATTCTTTTGTTTTACTCATTGTAATTAATGATTAAGGGAATTTGGCATTTGTGTTTCCTCATATTTAAACTCCTGTGAAACAAGAAGTCATGGCTGGATGATTTCATGTCACCCTGGTGCTAAAAAAGGTAAACATTAATGGGAATATACTTCAGAGATATTTTACTCGTAAAACATTCTAGGGGTACCAAAAATGATGACCAACATGTTTTGGAGAAAAACTCATAATGTGATTTTCCCCCCACTTTCAATTATTTTACTTCGATGAAAGGTCAGATTTTTGGCAATTTTTTAATGAAAGATCAAAAGGATAAATGATGCAGAATTATTTTTTACAGCCAGTTTTAATTTAAGTGCCATTAATTCTGAGCACAACTGTAGTTAATATAGGTTACAGGATCATTTTTAAAAAAAAACTGGCAATGGGACTGCTCTTCCCAGGAAAAAAAAATCCATGTTGATGGTAAATTAGTTAATCTGAACCATCTGAATCTACCATCTGAATGTCGCAGCAACCAAGTCTCATAGATCAGGCAACATTTTTCCAATCATCTTTTTTCCAATTTTGGTGATCCTTTGTAGCCTTAGTTTCCTGTTCTTAGCTGACAGGATTGGCACAGGTGTGTGTTCTTCTGTTGCTTTAGCTCATCTGCTTCAAGGTTTGATGTGTTGTGTCTCCAGAAAAGCTCTTCTTGGATGTATCAAGTGTTTGTTTGTTTGTTTGTTGGTTGGTTTGTTTGTTTGTTTATTTGTTTCAACAGAGTTACTATTGCCTTTCTATCAGCTTGAACTATGACAAATCTCCTCTAACTTCTGGCGTCAACAAGGCATTTTTGCCCACAGACCTGCTGCTCACTATATACATCTCTTTTTTTGGACCACTATAAACCCTAGAGATGGTTGTACATGAAAATCCCAGTAGATAGGTAACTGAAATACTCAGACCAGCCTGTCTAGCACCAACAACCATGCCAAGTTCAAAGTCACTTATACCTTTCTTCCTCATTCTGATGCTCACTTTGAAATTCAATGGTCATCTTGGCCATGTCTATATGTCTAAATGTATTCAGTTAGATATTTAGTTAGAATTAGATATTTGTGTTAACAATAAGTGGCCAAGGAGTGTACAAAACAACAGGAAAGAAAATATAACTGCAATTGCAATTTTTAAACAATGTTCCATAACTCAGAAAGGACATACAAACGAAATGAAATTGTCCTGAGAGAAATTGTCCTCCACTCCCTGTGCCGGCAGCTTATTTACATTTAAAGGGCACACCGTAAAACAGCACGTTTTTCTGAGCCCCAAAAAATGACAATTTAAACATGCTGTAAAAAAATGATCTGTTCGGTATTTTGAGCTGAAACTTCACATACACATTCTGGGGACATCAGAGACTTGAGAAAGGGACATAATATGGGCCCTTTAAACCAGACGCGAATTGCGCTGCTCTTGGTAGATTGAGTTGGTCATTATGGAAATGATCTGGCTGTGTTCTTTAATTTGCATGCGTCTGTAGATCACCCCCCGAACTTTCCACTCCCATCAGTGGTTTTTTGGAATCACACACTCACGCTAATTTGCCCTATGCATTAATCTGTCCCTTAGTCTTTTATATTTGTGAAAGTGACATAATTTTGGTCCAAATGTAATAGTAGCAGAAAGCCCCATATTGTTGACAACTAATAAAAATATTGGAGTCCCCGAATGTGTTATTTTTTAATTATTTTTTTCCTGAAATGGTCAGGCATAAAGGGCACCTTTTCCTAACAATGGTCCATTAATCCATCCTCTACTCTGGTGCACCAGTCTCAAGCCAACTGTTAAACCCGGAACACACCAAGCCGACGGTCGGCAGTCTGGCAGATTTTGTGCGTCGGCCAACTAAGTTTCCTCGGTGTTATACGCACGGTTCCGTGCCTTTGGCTGAAAATAGTTCTCGTCGACTTTGTTTCGCCCCGATTCGACATGTGGAATCGGCGTTGGGCCGTTGGGGCAGCCCGTTCTCATCCTTTAGCGCCACATAGAACGCTATATGACAAAACGGTGCTATACTGGCACCCTTTATCGTTAATATTCACGCGAACCCAAGGCGTCATACATCCTTTAGCGTAAGATCAGAAACCCTACCCTACCCCACACCTATACCTAACCATCACAGCGCGTGTTATATTAACGATAACGGGTGCCATGTGCGTAGTATAGCGCCGTTTTGTCATATAGCGTTCTATATGACGCTAAAGGATGAGAATGCGTTGGTTGGGGAAAGAGAGAACTCTGACTCTTTCACTAAGCTGAAAAGCCAGTCAGTGCACGAGAATAAAAGCAAAACAGCAAGCAAAGAAGTCAAAACGGTAAAGATAGAAGGCTGTTCTTATGTTACGTCATCTTACCTAACGCCTGTGATGAGAAGACCAACGCCTGTGAAGAGACGACTCAACGCCGGCGATATGTTATGGAGCCGTTTTATATATAAACAATATTTATATTTAATATATATATATACATAAACAATATGAATGTTAGCCAGAGGAGAACTGGCCCCCGACTGAGCCTGGGTTCTTCCAAGGTTTTTTTTCTCCCAAGGTTGCCTTGCTTTTGGCTTGCTTAGTTGGGGATATTTAATATTTAACAATATTATTGATCTGTGTTGTACTACTTTCATGTTATCACTGTGAAGCTGCTTTGATACAATCTGTATTGTGAAAAGCGCTACATAAATAAATGTGACTTGACTTGACTTGACTTACCTGAGTGTTCCTTGGCGAATATTTCAATATTAACGTGAGCGGAGTGGAATAAAGAAAGTGGATTGATATTCAAAATGGTAAGCACGCGCTGCTTTGTTTACATTATGTGTATCTGCAGCCGGCAGCGTCGGTTTTCCTTTTTGAATGACGAATATAGACAAATATATCTGCAGAAATAGACAGTTGGCTCATTACGCGCAGGCGCAGAACGCACATTCTAGCTGACAGTCGGCTGCAATTCTCTCGGTGTGTTCAAGTGCAGCTTTTTACCTCGATGAGAGCGGACGAGAGGCGACAACACAGTCGGCTTTCATCAGCGCTAGTTCGTTGGCGTCGGCTTGGTGTGTTCCGGGCTTGAGACAGCCGCCGGAGGATACAAACAGTATTAATAACTCTCAGGCTGCCCGATAATTACCCAAGCAGCCTTGTTATATCATACACTATCACTGAGCAAAGAAAGATTTGCTATTCAGTAAACAAAAACACTCCAAACCAAACACACACTAAAACAATTACTGTTAAAGGGGGGGTTGACTGCGATTTCACTTTTTTCATTTTAAATAGTGTGTAATGTTGCTGTTGGTGCATGAACAGTATCTGCAAAGTTGCAGCGCTGAAAGTTCAGTGTAAGCAGAGATATCGTCTTTTAAAAACCAGGAAGTGTAAACGCCTACAAAAACGACTCGATTGGGACTACAGCTGGGTTATGGTACGTCACTAACCCACACATTAGCATCAACCACTCCCTCCGGAATATGCAGAAAAGGGCATGCGCATATTTCAGACCATTTCAGCAGCTCCAGCTCGTTGATTGTGTTATGTTCACGCAGCTGTCAGGTCTTATGTCTTTGAGCTTCCCACAGACGCTGTACTTCGTCAACAATGGATACTGTTTATGTTTGATTATGTTCCTGAAAATGACGATCGTAATCTAGCTCTCTGTGCTGCGCATTTTACGTAAGACAGCTTCCAGAATCTCCAACACCGGATTCAACAACTAAAACATGAAGCAGATCCAACTTTAAAACCAGAGGCAGCAGTTGTTGGGCCACAACCTGTAAGTAGGCTAAGACAATCATTTTAAATGTATTTGCATGTATAATTCCAGACGAAGCTGTTGTATTTTATTTTTTTCAATAAAGCCAGCACTGGCTTTATTGCCACTAGGCTATTAGTTATACTATTTTGTGTCTACGATAAACGCGTACAAAGATTAATTTTTTATAAGTACTAATGTTGTAAATGTATTTTTCATGTATATATGTTTTATGACGTTATTTTCGATTTGATCGAGAACGTAAACTTGCCAATGCTGTTTGAGTATAACATTAGTAGCCAGTCAGTTGCTATTGTTGCCAGTCAGATGCTATTGTGTAAAACAAACGTGTATAAAGTTAAACAAAATGTGGCAAATTATCATTCAGAAACGTTTATTGAGAGCCATGCATGTTGAGGTTCTGCTTCACTCTCTTCATCGCGGCTTACTCGGTCTGATTCTGCCTCAAACTGATACTGCAGTTCGACACATATTTACATCTGGACCGGAGCTCATGACGTGCCTGTTTCGCCCCTAAAGATAATGGGCATTAACTTTCCGGACAATGTAAGGGACAGTTTAGCCAATCACAACACACCGGGGCAAGCTAACCAATCTGAGCCCACTACGTGTTTCTGAGGGAGTGGTTTCATATAATCAGGAAGTCAACCGCTCGTTCGAGGACAGAGGAGAGCGCGGCTGACAATAAACGTGAAGTTTATGAAAAATAAGACTTTTTAAAAACGAAAAACCACGAATACATGTTATATTGCACCCCATGAACACAATCATGCAAAGAAAAAAAGCAGTCAACCCCCCCTTTAATAATGTTTAATTCTAGGTCACTTTAGTTCAGAATTAGAACACTATATGGGAGATAAAAATGGCCTGTCATACCTGCATTGAAGTGCAGCGTCTCATTGTTGCAGAAGTCTGTAAAGCAGCAGTTGCGTTTATAGACGTTTCTGGAGCTGTGGCAGAACACCTGACCCTTGAGCTCTGATGGGGACACACAGGACTTCACTGCCTCCTCCTTCCCATTTATGAGCATCACTGAGTTCCAACACGCTCCTTCTGCCTCTGTCTCACAAGTGTGGTTCACACACAAGTGACATACACACTTTAAGGCTGAGAGAAAAGATTTATAGATTAATATTTGGCATGGGAAAAGTCACTGTCACACCTTTTAGAATTAAACTCTTTTTCTTTAGGCACGGTAAAAACAGTATTGTCATTGATATGTATGACACAATAAATCATAAATATCGGGTGTACCACATCCAATTAAATAGCTGAATTTGAAGTGTAAGGATATACAATTAAGGCAATAAAATGCTAATAAATTAAATTAATTTAACTGCTGCAAGTGGTCATTAATAATGTATTTATTAATAAATAAGTTATTTTATAGCATGAATAATTTATACTCATGTGCTGAAAACAGCAAAGTACTCAATCTTTCTTTTTTTAAAATGCACAAATACATTTGTATTTATTTTTATTTATTTTGTAATTATTTTTTTATTGTATTAATTATTCAATTTCAGCATGGTGAAATATCACATTTTATTTCCCAGAATCCCCTAATTTGTCCAATAGATAAAGCTACCGAGCAATACAAAATATTGTGCAGTGCCTGGTTGACAGTCGCTGCATATGCTTCCTCTGGATTCCAATAGGAATGCAAAACTCTATTTTTAATGACGTTCCAGCTGATGAGGGTAAAACCGTCTGTTTCGCTTCATTTCACTGAGGATTGCTTTGTAAACAAGACTGGATTTGCAGACCGATTAAGAGTAAAGAACGGTGCCGTGCCTTCTATATATGATCTGACAGGAATGATGCAACACACGGACTCCAGGGGCCCGTTTCAATAAGGAGGTTCAACCAACTCTGAGTTAAAGCTTGAACTCAGAGTTGACTTACCCTGAGATGGGAAACTCTGAGTTTTCGGTTACAGAACAGCTGAAATGAGTTAGTTCAATCAACTCTGAGTTGACTGACTCTGAGTTAAGCGCTTGCACCACAACTATAAAAAGCCATTATCAATGGAGCACAGATATTATGAGTCACCATGGCAACAGCGCCAGACAAAAAGAGGTGTTTGGTGTTATTAATTACCAAGTAATCTAAATATTGTAATTTAATTAAAGGGATTACTCTTAATTCTTCTGTAATTTAAAATAAAATACGATGCAATTACATTAAATAGGCTACTACATAAACCAATTAAGTATAAAACAATAGTGGATTTAACATACATTTTTAAAAGGTATATTTTTTATGTAACCTTCTCCCTCTACACACTTTGATCAATTCAAAAATAATTCATGCAATTGTATATTGTGAATTTGAAAGAATTAAAAGTGCAGTTTCTTGTCTCTCCTCTTTGTATTAATCAAGTGGTTGAGGTTGAGATTTAGCAATTAGTAATATGTAGACCAATACTTTCTAGAGATAGTAGCCTGATTATTACATTAATCTAACTACACCGTTGAAGATGTCAGTTAATAATTCATAACTATTTTAGAGTAACTTACTGTTATAATATAGAGGTGAAACTGGAAGAATGTTATTCAACCTAAAGTAGGCTACTATTACTTTGATAAAATTTTACCTAAGTAAAAGTAAAAATACCAGTCTAAAAATCCACTCAAGTAAAAAGTAGTTAATTTAAAACATGAGTAAAAGTTGCTGAGTAACTTGTGGGGGTGGGGTGGGGGACTCCCCCATGTGGGGAGAGTTGAGAAACATCTCAGAAAATATCACGGTTTATGGTTTTAAACAATTATTAAATATATAAACTGCATTCTTAAATTACGGTTATTATTATCATCAGTTAAAATGACAGTTAAATAAATTAAACATTTGTTCAATAAAACATATCAACTAACTTCAATAATTGATTATGAATAAGATTAACATCTTATTTTTTATCATTAATAACTTATTAAATTATGTTTGAAAAATAAGTGAGTTCTATTAAATGTTTTTTATTCAAATTTTTTTAATGATTTAATAGAAATATATTATCAAAAACGGTGGTAATCAAATAAAAGTTTAGCAAACGTTTTAAATCCTTTTATTTTTTGGCAAAGTGCTACAAAACAGATTTAGTCAATTAAACCATGGACAAACAATATATATTCCTTAAAGAATGTGTAAATACATTTTAGTATTATTGTTGGTGTTTAACAGCACTTCCTCTTTTAAAAAAGGGGAGGAGACCGCAAGAAACTCTGAGTTTACTGAAGAAAACCTGCCCCCGACCAGGTTAGGTTCACGGAGTAAGTTACCATGGTAACTGACTCTGAGTATAAGTTACCTCTCTTTCAGAAATGGGCTTGACTTACTCTGCTGTCTCAGGTTTAACTTACCTCCCTTTCTGAAAAGGAAAACCCAGAGTTTCCCTCATTTCAGAGTTAACATACTCAGAGTTTTACATACTTACATACTTTACATACATACTACATACATAACATACTAGTTTTACATTACAGGGTTAACATACTCAGGCCATTTTACAACATTGGACGTTTTCAAACCAATTTCCCCCACATACACAGATGAGGTGAGTTGAAACTCATTATAATATGCAAAACTGTTATCCACTCACAGCAGTGGGCGTTTACTTCTAAGTCTTCAGTGTGAGACGCCCATAAAAACCGAGCGTTTCTGAGCTGGGCTCAAAACTAGGGTAGAAAATAGCCTATTACTTATTCATTTTGATGTTTTTGAATGCAAAAACCAAGCAAACGTCATAAGTTCACCTCAGACAACAATATAAAAAGCCAGTTCATGACCCCTTTAATCAAAACAAATCATTTCTCCCTTACATCAAGCAAGACATGAAAGCTTCAATGTCAGCAGAAAAGCTAAAAAAAAAAAAGCAGCAAATTCACGAGGATTGTCTCCAACCTGTATTTCCTGACATTATACCTGTTCTTTGTGTGGGCAAAATTACAATTTCTAGCAACGCAACATATATTTCAGTTCAATCATAAGAATAATAAGTACTGTCAAACTTCCAGGTAGAGGCCATTCTTAGACCAAGTTCTATCAGAAATACTGACGCTATATATTTTTATAGCGTAATACAGTATAGGCCTAACAGGCAAACTGGTGAAAGGCTTTAAAAGATATGTATAAAGATGAAAAAGTTACTGGTATTTTTCTGCCAGACATTGGGACATTATTCAGTGATTTTATGGAAATTTCTGTTAACCCTTAAACACAACACAATGCGCCATTTAAAATACAGGTAAACACTGTGAGTCATGTCATCATCTCCTGTTACTGGGTTTCACATGTGATAAATGCAGGGATATAGTTGTATAGTATACACTGACTGAGAAGATTTAAGAACTAGAGACACGCATCGAAACTTTAATTAGGGATGGTAAGATGGTAAGACGTCATGGTTGGAACAACAGGCTAGAGACGAGGCTCCGTCAGAAAAAAGATTAAAAAACGGTGACAACTTTATATATATATATAAAGCTTTCAGAGTGTAAAATAGTCCGTGAACAAAATGACAACTACATCGAAAACAAGAGGACAAGGAAAAACAGGACAATTGAAAGAACCAGACAACAAACAACTAAGCACAAACAGCGATTGCTTAGATGCTACTAGCCGCGAGGAACAGGCAGCACGCGATTGTGAAATGTCTTTGATACAAGAAATAAGCAAAATTCGCGAGGAAAACAGCCAGGGGCATAAACGAACAACAAAGACCCTTTAGCGTTTGGAAAAGTCTGTGATAGATATTAAAGAGCAGCTTGGAGACCACCAGCAGAGGATCGGTGAGCTGGAGGGGAGAGTGAGTGAGGTGGAAGACGCTGGGGCTGGGCAGCAGCGCGTCATACGGTACCTGTTTCAATGTGAAAAACAACTCACAGCGGTTTGTGATGATTTGCAAAACAGGGTGAGGAGAAATAACCTTCAAATATTTCAAATACCAGATAAGAGTGAACACAGAGATGAGGTCGGTGGGGTTTGTGAAATCCCTGCTTTCCAAAGTATCGACATCACCACCTGATTTAGACATTAAAATTGAGAGAGCGCACCAAAGATATTGTTTTGCAGCAAGCATGGAGCCAAGGAAAGGGGATGTTTCAAGATAAAAGGATTTTCTTCGATCAAGACTACTCTCCTGAACTACAAAAGAAGCGGGCTAAGGTTCACACAGTCATCAAGCAATTAAAGCAGAGGGGCATCCAGGCAAAATGCCTGTATCCAGCATGACTGAAAGTCAAGATGGACTCGGGAGAAAAAACGTTCCCCTTGTTGACAAACGCAGTGGAATCTTTGAGAGAGATGGGGTTAGTAGAGGTCCAGTGTGGAGAGAAAGAGCGCATTGAGGAGAAAATAACTGAAAGATGGAACAGCAGCACGAAGAGGAGGAGAACCAACATGTTGGCGATAGCGGACTTGAAGGCTATGATTCAGGATGAAGAGGAGGATGAGTAGTCGAAGGTATATGACACTTGTGAATTTCTGTGTGATTTTAGATATGGGCTGCTAAAGGGACACACAATGTTGAGTGCATATAAACACAGGCCCGGTTCTACGGGGGTGCTTGAGGGTGCTAAGCACCCTCAAACAAAAGTGAAAGCACCCTCAGATTATTTTGCCGACAAAAGAAACACAGACGGATTTCAAACTCATACAAATAATAGGTTACACAAACTAAATCAATTAACGTGATTTTTCAAATCAGAATTTATTTCAGTATTTCAGTATTATGTTTAATGCATTAAATTGGTTGTGCCCTTTCGCGATCGTAATACCCACAGGTGACGCTGCCTGTCTTTGTTTGCGTGTGTGCGTCCCGCTCAGGAAATTCGTTAGCGACGGGGCTGCCTTTAGCCAATAAAATGTCTCTATATAAATCGGAATGAATAGAGAGTCTCTGCAACGGCGGTAGATTGAAGTGCGCGCAGTGCGCGTCCGAGTGAAGGTTGCGCGAGACACAAGAGAACTGTATCCATGAAACTGACAGCAGTGGCAAATAGTGCTCAGCTTGATTTCAAAAACATCAAATTTAACCAGTAGCTAGATGTCTTAATTGAGAGCGAACTAAATGAATGCTCTAGTTAACTGGAGATGTTTTATCTGTAGTAGGTAAATCTGTTCCTCAATATTTCCAAAAGTGGTGGGTACAAAATTACTAATGACGAAATCTGGTGGGGATCGACATCGAGTGACCAGCATTTAATCTTTAAACGAGCTGTTTCGTTTAAAAGGACTGATTCATTGTCGTCAGAAACTAAATGTCTAAAATGTACGTTACTTATATTAACTTATTTATTCAAATGCAGAATAAAATCAGTTTCAATACTTCACACATTTGCATATAGGCTACTGCTGTTTTTTTGGGGAAAAAGTAACATTTCTTAAATGAAATGATATGTAAAGGACAAAAACTCATACAGGGATATGCTACTCGATCATGGATATCGAATATTGTTTAACATTTGAGCACCCTCACTATTTTCAAAAGCACCCTCAGTGATTTGGTTCTAGAACCGGGCCTGTCCCAGATAGCAACAAAGTCTGGGCCGAGTCTGGCTTATATTCGGCACTTCTGGCTTAATTCTGGCACTGTTTTTTTCACACTCTTGTGTCAAACAGTACTAGGCTAAGCTCTGGCTGGAGTCTGGCTAACCAAAAGAAACAAATCAAATTGTATCTGTTTGGCTAAGCTTTGGCTTGAGTTCGGTCTGCCAGAATAAGGAAATTTTTGGCTGAGATCTGGTTGGGTTTTGGTTGGCTGAGCAAATAACAGACCTCATGAAAGTGCTGTACTGTAAAATAGCCGTGTAAGATGTGGTGTTAAATTGGTTCATATTTTAGACATAATTATAATGCAGCCAACCTCATAAATAGGGTTAATTTTGTTAAAAATAATAAAATGAAATAAGTTTGTTATAGACCTAGTTAAAAATACATATAGATATGTATTCAAATAGTTCTCTTTTACACATAAGTAGGCAGGTTTTAAGGAAAGAAGCCTTGATTATTCTATTGGCAAGATTATTTTAATGGGGGGGGGTTAAGGAGGTGATAATGTGCAGATTGCAGAATGGAAAAAGAGATGTTTGCAAAATGACTGAAGACAAATGGTTCAGTCTGCAGCATAGACAAAAGATTGAATGGAACTGAAAGAGTACTTTGTGGTTATCCAAATGGTAATCAATATGCCACACACACACACACACACACACACACACACACACACACACACACACACACACACACACATTCACTTTTTGGGGAATTTATTAGGTAGCCTACAGATGTACTACAAAAACCCATGGTTAAACTATGATTTTTTGAAGCAAAAACCACCCATGCTTTGAGTTTTCACAATTCCTCAATAAAAAAATTATATAATCTCCATAAAATAGCCTATACATAGCCTATACATAGTTCCCACAGGCAAAAAAATTGTCACGTGACCTCCCCGGAGACGCCATCTTTGAGGGCAAAACCGCAGTGTTTACCATAGGCGTTTACAACGTTTTATCAGAGAATGTCGTTTTACAAACAAATATTTATGTCTGTTTATATTTTTATGCAAATCATGAAAAGACAAAGTGTAATAGATTATAAAGAGACTATTAAAACAAGACATAGAGAGGTACAATGCGAAAATTTCATTCATAAATGGTGTGTATCCTTATGCAACAAAAGAAGCACTGAGCACCGATTATGCAACTTTGCCTCAGATACAGTATTTTCATGTGTACAATTATCTGGTATTGGTGAGGAGTTTTTACACATGTGAGCAATTCCAAGCCTGGAAATCACTGGAGGTGTACGATCAGATTGACGTGGGGTTGGTTTGGTGACGTTTGCTCAAGTGCAATCAATGGAAAAGTAACTTAAGTCATCATAGCGAAGTAGCATGATGCTAATCTGTCTATTAAAAAGCCATAGCCTGCACAACTTAATTCCTATGTTCCCCAGTCACCGGTGATTTCTGTAATATGCATGTACTTGCGGGCGTCATGGTTCGGTGCATGAATATTAAAATAAATAACTCGCGTGCAATTTAATTAATGTAATAAATGAGGAACTACATTATACGCGGGATCTTTAGGGACATAATCTGAGATTGCAATGCTGGAATGTGAGATCAAACAGTGGAAACAATGTTGTTTTGTATGTTTTTAATACCTCGTCATTTTGTTCATACAGGACATTATTCAAACTGCAACGTGTTAACTTATATTTATTTACACTCGCAATAAAACACAACATTGTGCTTTTGTCAAACAAATTCGTGCGTGTTTTGAGTGAGTTTCTTTCCTGTTCATGCTCGCCAGCCATAATCTCCATCGTTGTTCGGACAAAAGCTTAGTCTTCTCACATCCATATCCGTCTAATGACGGGTATAGTGTAAAATCCCGATTTAACTGAACCTCCGGCACGATTTTATCATCCATTGACTCAGCAGGAGATGACCATTTTCACTTTATAGCACGAAACTCATTTCACTTCGTTCAACTCGTATTGCTTCTTCTTATGTTTTGCCCTCAGCAATGGCGCCGGGTCGGCAAATGCCCGTATGTTGTGACGTCATGTGGGAACTATGTATTGTAAGTATTTGGAGAAGAAACATTTATGTTCTCCACGTAAACCATTGAAATCGGTTAAATAAAACGTGGTTCTGTTTTTAAAAATCTCCGGGAAACTTGCGTGTTTTTAGAGCAGTGTGAGCAAACCACGCGGCAGTCGATGCGACGTCTGTGGCTGCTGATACAATCTGGTTTGCAATGCATCATGGAAATTGTAGTTGATTTACATGTACAGTGTTAAATCCGCTTTGCAAAAAAGACTACTTTTCCCAGAATGCACCCAGTGACACCATCCCGCCTACCAGAGGATCCGGAAGTTGCGTAGCAGCTATTCAGCAACTCAACGCAGTCGCGGTAAAATTCAAATAACTAAGTTAGTTGTTCTAACTTCGACAATCACGCTGTGTTGGTTTTATCTTTTGAAGTTTTAATACATGATCAAGGTAAGTTTATAGTTTTTCACTATCTTAACACGTGGATTTTAATCTATAGCGCATTACTAGATACGATTTTTGGGGGGTTTGTGTGGTTGGATTTTATTTGCTTTTATGTTGGAGAGGAAATAGAATTGATGTTTGAATTCTGTTTTTCATTGAAAATTAACATTATAGTGAAGAACATCGGAAGCTGCTTCTTGCTGAACAACAGCTGATCTTTCTGATGCCACCAAAGCGGAAAATAAAGTAAGATTGATTATTTTTTAACGTTAATTCATTAACATAGACCTTTCTTACAGGTCCTTATATATTTGTGCAGTTTAACACATTATAATGCACATTTCTTTTTGAATTGCAAAAAGGGAATTTGTGACTGAATAGTCTTTACATGACCATACCACACTTTCTTAATCAAATTTAGTAATCATTAAAAAAATGTACCTTTCCTAAAGATGAAACAGGCGACTAATGGATGAAAATGACCCCGATGAGGAGGCTACTGCAGGCATGGCAAGTAGAGAAGTTCACAAGACCTCACAGAACATCGCAGGCAACAGGATTTAACTTTACAGTCTCACAGACAGGCAATACAGTCACCATGGCATCATGAAACACCCAGACCACAGAGAAAAAGCCTCTCAAGTGATGACCGATTAATAAGATGTAAGATTTCATTTAGTATTTTTAATAAGATGTAAGATTTCATTTAGTATTTTTCATCATATATTTACTGTTAGTGTAAGGATACTATAGCATGTCATAGCAGTGGTGGTGTGGCATGCATGACACATTTACACTTTTGCTTTACTGTTTGTATGAATTTAATGTATTGCTTGGTTTCTGTTGCTTTTTAGTACGGTGGCTGAGAGGTCTCAACATTCTGCAACAGAAGAAAATGGATGCAAACAGAAAAAAAACCCTGTAAAATAAGAACATCTTTATCACATGTGCTAAAACACAACCAAATACATAAATGCTCTCCAAATGTCCGACCAACAAATATCTACTCGACAATGGTGTTCATTGTTTTATTTTTATTATTATTTATTGTTTGCATTGTATTTGCAGCATGTGTGTTGTGAAACTGATGTCTTGACTTGCTGGTGTTTTTCTTGTTTGCATGTTTTCTTCTGTTGCAGGACTTTGAGATCTCTCGGCCAACATATTTTTGTTAATTTTTGTATCTCATTATTTAAGAATGCCACATACACATTTTTGTAACATTTTAATTTATTGCTGTCTTTTTATTATTCTTGTAATGTGAATTATAGTTATATTTTGTTTTGTCTTACTCTAGTATTGGCTTGTATTTTGTTGTTTATCCTTTTATCTGGCTGAGATTTTCTTCCCTTCTCAATAAAATATTGTTCTTTGCATTTCTGTAGTGTCATTTTTTTTATTATACCTTGTTTTACACAGGAATAATTTCTGGTTCAGTTTTGGGGACTCTGGTATAATATTGGCCCAGTTATGGCTGTTTTCTGCAGCTTCTGGATAAGATGTGGCTGAGTTCTGGCCTAAAGGTGGTGGCAGTTTGGCTTTTGTCTGGCTGACATATGGGGAGTACGGTGTTGTTTTGGCCCAGTTCTGGGTAATATCTGGGTACACTGCAAAGCTCTGGGCAAGTTTTGGTTTGCTCACGGCTTTGATCTGGTTGACTTACGGCAAACAGCACTTGGGCCAACCTTGGCCCGTAATTCCATGCGGTATGTGGGCCAAAATCTCAGTCGAAATTAAGCCAGATCCGGCCCAAGGCCAATTTGCTATCTGGGGTATAAACAATGTATAGGCTGAAAGCAGTAAAAACATTATAAAAAAAAAAGAATTGTCACAAAGGGTTAAATATAAGGGGGGGAAGTTCTGACGGACTCTTGATGTCTAAATGAGTGGTTTTCACTCACTAAGACCACTTTTACATGTTAGTGTAATACTGGTCGTTTTTGCACACTGGGTGCTTTTCACCACAGAGGGACTAGGTCACCACTCTCTGTCCCATTATATGTATTAACAACGCGTTAGGATGAGAACGGGCTCGTATTAATATATGTATTTTTTTTTATTTTATTTATTTATATATGTATGTGTGTATGTGTTTTTTTTTCTTTTCCTTTTCTTTGTTGTTCTATTACCTGCCCCAGATAATGTATTATCGTTATGTTTTGTGAAAAATTCAAATAAACAAAAAGTTAAAAAAAAAAAAAAAAAAAAGGGCTGGTAAGAATGCAAGGGCTGGGCTCTAGATATTACTTTGGATGCCACTAGCAATCCCCGTACATTGCTCGGTTCTGGTTGCAGCGTCCCCGCTGGAGGCAGCCTCCAGCAACTGGGTGATTGTGAGACGGCATAGTCGCAGGACAAAACACAGCTGTTTCGTTCCGATAAAAAATATCAAACAGCTATTGCCGTTAATATTGTTAAGATTCATATGCTGATTCTTGATATCTGTGTTAGTTTTGGTAATGAATTACATTTTCTGAAAAATCCTTCATACTTCATCTGATAGTCATAACATTGCTAGTTCTTATGTTGTAGAATATAGTTTTTAATACAATTAATAATATAATCAGAGAATAGACTCTGAATGAGATCAGTGAATCTAGTCATTAAGTTATGATTGTCATCATCAAACCTTGACCATCATCACCCGATAATACTTTTCCTTGAATTTTGTGCCATAACAAATGTTACATAAACACTCAATTACAGCAGCCAAAGAAAAACTTGTACTCAAAACGTCAAGGGTCAAAAGCCCAACTAAAGCAAACTCTGCCAACATGGTGACCTTAACCCTCTCGGGTCGGCAGGGGTTCCCAACCTTTTTTGTGCCAGGGACCGGCATATTCATAAAAAAAATTCCAGGGACCAGCTGTCAATTTGAATACCTCAATTTTAAGATGCATCATTTGGATTCGGAACATATCACTGTGCAAAACAGTAACAGGATATAATTTATTTGCATATAATGAACTAGGTGGCAACAAAGGCTCCTTGCATACCAATCTTTTTAAACTTTCAGAACGGTTCACAAAAAGTTTATCTTTTCTCCCATTCAATTAGGTCTACTTCAAAAGCAACTCACATAGCACTAACTCACTAGCAGGTGCACGTTGGAACCCCAACCCCCGGCCGCCCCCTAAATTCACATAAGAATTCAATAAGGATTATGCATTAGCATGCATTGTGCATTATCATGCAATTTATACATTATCATGCAATTTATTATAAATCATGTGCATTATCATGCAATTTATCATAAAATTAGTTTTTACATGCATTTGATACGCAGAAAACTTAATAATTGGTCAGAATTATGTCTGACCCATTCCAAATGTTTTCCGATATATGGCGACCCAAGCACTGATGGACCAAAGAGTGCACATTTCGACATGTGCAAAAAAAAAAATCTCAGAAAATGCATTTTAATACTAATATATTGAAAAGGCTGTTTATATACTCCATTAATAAAGGAGTTCAGACAAAGGAAACATATCAGTCGACATGCGTTTTTATATTTAATATGAGGGAAATAGACATGCATGCGTGACACAAAAAATCTTTAACTTTTAGGTAGCAAAATATTTTTTAGAAAATTCTACTAGACTAACATCACTCATAAATCCTGAAATTTCACACATCTCTTGAGTTTTATTAAAAACCTTTAACTTTTAGGTAGCTAAATATTTTTTAGTAATTCTCTCAATTACACTAGGGTTAGATTTAATTGAAGGTAAATTGGACACTGACGCCCACAGACGTGAAGTGAACGAGGCTGTCCGGTACTGTCAGAAAAAGTTAACTCTGTGGCGATGCATGTGCAAAACTAATCATAAAGTCAACCAGGATACATAACACAACCTACTAGGCCTATATAGTAACAGTTTCAGAATACAATAGCAAACACACCGTGATTTGGATGTTTTGTGAAGTGCAGCTGCAGTTTTGACGGCTTCATTGCTTGATTGGAGAGTTTTTCACCTCAAATTACACACAACGAATTTGACGCCACGGAATCGCCTGTTGTCGTGAATCCATACCTAATGTCTATATTTCAAGTTGGTCATCGCCTTTCCTTTTACCGGAACTGTCCGCAATGAAATTAGCCATTAAAGTCTGCTGAGCCCGCTCATCTCTCCGCATACTTCTGTCACTTCAGCTGCACGCACCCATGCACGCACCGCGCTCAGTCTGTTTAGATAGGCTATGACGCGTTGCTAAGCAATCGGAAGGCGCTCAAAGAAACACGTTTTAATATTCCACTTATTTGCATTTATTTATTGTTTGTGTTTTGGATTAAATAACATGACACGTTTTAAAAGCATCTTAAAAAGACAAATATTATTATGGAAAAAAAAAAAATAATTCTGGGAATATTTCAAGGCCCGGTACTAACGTGTTCACGGACCGGCACCGGTCCGCGGACTGGGGGTTGGGAATCACTGGGCTATTGCACCGGCACAACAAGCTTTTCTTATCAGTGCAAAAGAGACTCAATTTACTCTTTTGATTTTGATCTTACATATCATTAGATCTTGTTAAGTGTGTATTTTTTATACAAAAAGTTAGTAGTAAAGTAGTAAAGGGCTAGTAGTAGTGTGTTCTCATTGGCTACTGAGTTTTTGATTGACAGCTTCTTGACCTGGAAGTGAAGACGTCAGTATTGTGTTTACATGTGTGGACATGAGCGTCTGTAAGCACAGCTTTCTATTGATAATAATGACCCTATTGTTCCATAAGGTGGATCCATGCGGAGAAAAGTTATGGGCGAATATCATTTTCCAATATTGGAGAATTTGTTTGTGGAAGTTTGACAATTTCACAGGAATTTTGGTCACCTCAAAATCACATTGCAAAAGAAAATCAAGCCCTCCTACTTTTTTAAATAGATGTCTGGGTATGTGAAACCACATAGAATCTGGTTGCGACAGAAATGTTTTTAACCAGTTAATCTTGAAGGTCCCGAACATAGCTTCAAAATCCAAAGCTTTAATCCCACCCATGTCATACTCTTTAACAAGCTGTGATTTCTTAATATAGTGAGTTTTATTTTTCCACAGGAATTGGAAAATGATTGAGTTGGCTTTCTTAACATTGCCAGATGAAACATACAAGGAATGACATGGATAAATTACTTTTGAAATACCTTCTGTTTTAGATAGAGTAACTCTGCCAAAGATAGTGAGGTCTCTGGTAAGCCAGCGACTCAAAGCTTTCTTCGCATCTATTAATCGGTTAGAGAAATTTACATCTTCCCTTCTGATAGCATTTTTAGATAATACTATTCCTAGATATTTCACTTCAGATTTGACCTTGATTGAAGAGATGATGGAGTCTGTTGATGAGTGAATGGGAAGTAGCTCACATTTTTTAATATTCAAAGTCAATCCTGATGCTTTAGAGAAGATCGAGACTGAATCAAGGGCAACATCAACCATGGATTTATCCCTTAAAAGGACTGCAGTGTCATCTGCAAATTGACTAATTTTAAATTCCTTGTCAAATATTGAGATTCCTTGCAAATGGGGGTTTTGATTAATGAGCATTATAAGTGATTGGGTGGCTAGGATGAACAGTTTGGGAGAAATCGGGCACCCTTGTCTAATACCGCGGAGCACCTCAAACCTAGGAGTCATACCAGGATTCAGAGACACAGAACTATATATGTCAGTATAAAACATCTTAATTATTTTACAAAATTTTCTCCCAAAACCTAAAAAATCCAAGACTTCGAGTAAAAAGGCATGTTCGACGGTGTCAAATGCCTTATAAAAATCTAGAAATAAAATAAAGGCATCGGTATCAATGAAATCTCGATAGTCAATCATGTCTAGTAACAATCTGGTATGATTATGTATGTTTCTACCCTTTATGAAAGCTGATTGACACTCATCAATAATATGTGATAATCCCTCATTTAGACGATTAGCATAGACAAGCGCCAATAATTTATAGTCGTTGCATAACAAGGTAATTGGTCTCCAACAAAATTATCCAACAAAAGATTATCTTTGTTAGGTTTGGGGATAAGAGTGATGAGGCCGTGTTTCATAGTGGGAGAAAGATTACCTTTTGAAATACAATCTAAATATGCATTATAGAGCATTTCCCTGATATCACTCCAAAAGAAAGATAGAAACTCCACGGTTATCCCGTCTATTCCAGGTGATTTCCCCTTAGACATCTGTCGAATTGCCAAGTCTAGCTCCTCAATTCTTAACTCATCTTCCATGAGATGTTTAAAATTATCATCAATTGTCCTTTTAAAACCTATTATTATTATTATTATTATTATCATTATTATCAATAGGAAATCATTGTTCTGGCATGATTGGTATGAAAAGGGCATTGTGTTTGTGAATGATGTTATAGATGACAATGGAAATTTTTTGGAATATAAGTCTTTCTTAGACAAATATAATTTAAACTGTACAAATAGAGACTACAATAAGATCTGTAAAGCAATACCGGTACCTTTATTACAGTCAATTCAAAGCACACTGTTATATACCAATATAAGACCCTTACCAACTTTACCAAAATTGGTTATTAATGATTGTGCTCTAGTTGACAGTAAATGCAATAATAAATATATTAATGATGCTTTGAAATCGAAATTGTTTTTTGATTATAACAGAGGATTGTGTGTACAGGTTCTGAATATGGGTGCATTGTCCATTAAAAAAATCACATTTTAAATTTATTAAATGGCCCATGTCCCCAAAAGTCAAAGAGACTCACTTAAAAATAATTTATAAGATATACCATGTCGCTGACTTTCTTAAAAAAAGATTTAAATTTGAAGTAGATCCTTGTGCTTTTTGTGAGTTGGCTGATGAGACTCTGGAACACATGTTTTTTTTTTTTGCCCCGTGTCTAATAGTTTCTGGTCTGAGCTACATAATTGGCTGTCACTCAAGATTGATAATATTCCTACTCTCATCTTGCCACACATCCTCTTTTATATGGAGAATATAGATTCATCAGTATCAGATTTAGTGAATATGATCATTCTTATGGGTAAATATCATATTCATTGCAGTAAGTGGAGATGTTCTAAGCCTTCCTTTGTTTGGTTTATAAACGATTTTAAATTGTTTGTTACCTCACTGAAAAATGTCAAATCTACTAAAATTGCAAGGAAAATGTATAGTGATATATCCAGGAAATTACTGTTTTGATTAATCTCCCTTGTGTGTGCCGCTCCAAATGTGATTTTCTATTTTGCCTTTGACTTGTGTGTTTTGTAATAGCCCCTTCTTTGTTAGTTTATTTTTATTTTATTTTTTTTCTTTATTGTTGTTTTCTGCTTGGTTAATACTTTTGTACATTCTATCCCCTGCGAGAGTTTTGTATGTTACTTCTTGTCAATAAAAAAAAAAAAAGCACAGCTTTCTATTTTATTTAGGTGATATTAAGTTTATATCTATATTTATTTACTGCTACACTGTTGTTGAGATGATTTCTTAAAGAAGGAATAGTACAGACAAATTATATAATTTGTCATCGTCGATATCAGAATACTGCATAGCGTACTTGTGGTAAGTCTGATTGTTTTTACTTTTGTTTTTTATTACTTAATACTAAACTAATGCTAATTATAATACAGTTCGTGCTTTTGCAGGTGGAGAGGCATATTAGAGCTCAGTAAGAGCCCATAACATTATACAGCAGTGTCGTCTTGAATTAATTGGTAAATTAGTGTCTTGTTTATCTAACATTACATATGGTTACAGTCTTCGATTTGATCATATTTGCTTCGATTAGATCATATTTCCTCCCTGCCACCCCAAACAGCATTGGGCTAGAGTACTGTACAGTATCTGTACTGTAGCCTACAGTACAAAATGTACTGTATCAGACAATGACCGATCCCATTGGACCAGAGCGCCGTCAATCACTGCCCAATTAAACTTTGTCAATGTAAAGCCAATTGCTGATTAATTTGCAATGCAGAGTTTTCAAAAGAGGAGAGACAGGACTTGACCACTTTCCACGTCTCTATGCATAATATGTAAACACTCAATTGATTTGAAGTATAACCCTGGGCGCAATATTTATTCTGGAAAATGCAACGAAATGCTTTTTCTGTATCCAAATTTGAGTAATAATAATGCAAAAAAAAAAAAAACACACATTTTGAAGAAAAATGTTGAATTTTTAATAGTCTTTAATAATAAATATATATCCAAATGCAAAACCTAATACATGCAAGTAATTATGACTGAAAACATCCAGCACCTAGGGAAAACACAGCAATGGATAAATGTTTATAGGGCTATACAGCCATCATAGCTCTACCAAACCTGATTGTCTTTTCATGAATAAACAAACACTGTTATGTTGTCTTGATTGATACTGTGAAGCAGCTTTGATACAATCTGTATTGTGAAAAGCGCTATATAAATATATTTGACTTGACTTGATACTGGTTCACAATAGTACAGATGATAAATGGTGCATGACTCGGAGGTAAATATTTAGTATACTGTAAAATCCCTTAAACAGTTATATAATTTGTTTGAAATAATTATTTTAAGGCTGCAACTTGTTACTGCACGTGGGAGTTCAAAGCAGTTTGTATTGTTAGATTTTAATACATTTCCTTTCTCGTTTTCCAGGGAGTTGAGCAACTTTTCCATAAACAAAATTATGATGCTGATACAGAGGATGGAGTGATAATACCAGAGATCAATTGTCTCCATCAGACAATAATGTTACTTTGTTCAGACATATCACCTTTGAATGACTGGGATCCTGATCTTCAGACACCTGATGTATTTTATTTTAATATTATAAAATAGCAAATAATTTAATTTCTTTGGAGCTCTAGATTAAAACAAACACAGTACACAAGTACACAAGAGGTTGCAGTTTATTCTTAGTCTCTGCTGATCATGGATTAGCATACCAACAGCATATGAATGGGATATTTCACCCAAAAATAAAATTCTCACTTATTTTACTCACACTCATGCTGACCCAGAATTTTACTTTCATTCTACAGATAAATACGAATTAAGATTTTAAGGAAAGTAATCCATCTCTGCAAGTCCTAAAGATGCTTTAAAAACCACACGAGTGACCGTGATGTCCATGCGACCTCAGTGGATGAATCAATGCCTTCTGAAGTGAAACAATAGGATAAGAAAAATAAATACTAATAATGTAAACTATTAAAAATCACTTCCGACCAACTGTCATACATGGGTTACAATCCACTTGTGTTATATGGACTCACAGAGATGGATTATTTCCTTAAAAATCTTTGTAATTATGCATTTTGTATGTATATTATGAGAATAGTGTTTATTACATGTATAGTATGCAGTTAATGTTTTGTGGATTCTGGTCTTTCCTGTCACAACATAACTGCATCAAAGACTTTCACTTTGATACTTGTGTATAAGCTGTAGTGACAATAAAGAATGTAAATTTATTGGATTTTTATTTAAATTCATGTAACTGATTTTATAAGTGTTATAATTTATGATTTAGCCAGATCAATGTGCATTGACTGCCACAGGGTTCTTGTCAGAGAAATCAGAGTCATGGATAGATGATAGCCTTTTAATGATTGCTTTGGCATCAACATAGATAGACATGTGTAAGATTTTCTAAAACAATGAAAGAAATAATAATCAGCATCACGTAAATGTTACATTGTAGATATAAATGAAGAACTCAATATAACATATGAATGCATACAATACCCTTGTGAAAAAGAAGTGTGCTTAATTGTATTGAAAGTGTACTTTTTGTGTGCTTAAACTCATGAAAGTATACTTTTTGAAAAGTGTACTTGCAGATAATATAATATAATTACAATTAAAGACCACTTAAGTTTAACTTAAAGTAAGTACACTTTCATGACAATATTTATAAACACACTTAAGTGTACTTTTTAAAAATGCACTTTGTAATAATATGTAATTAAGTTTTACTTAAAGTACACTTTCATGACAATATTTATAAACACACTTAAGTGTACTTTTTAAAAATGCACTTTGTAATAATGTCTAATTAAGTTTTACTTATAGAAAGTACACTTTCGTGATCATATTTATAAACACACTTCAGTGTACTTTTTACAAATGCACTTTGTAATAATATCTAATTAAATTTAACTTAAATTAAGTACACTTTCTTCACAATAATTCTAAATACACCTAAGTGCATGTTTTTGTCTACTTAAGTTTTAGTTAAAGAACACTTTCATGTTAATATTTCTAATCACACTTAAGTGCATGTTTTAAAAAAATCCCTTTTTAATTGTGTCTACTTAAGTTTTACATTTTAAATAATTATGATTTAAAGTTATTAAAGTTATTAAATGAAATGTATTTTGATGAATTGACTAATATACTAAATAAAATAATAATTTTAATGGAAAACATGGAAAGTAATTCATTTTAATTTCAACTCAAGTGTGTTGTCCAAAAACAATTAGTTCATTTATTTTAAATGTGTTTAATCTAGAATATATCGACTGTGTGCATTAATGCACTTGGAATGTGTTTTTCCAATAAATTTGCAATACAGTTTAATCCAGGACAACTTATTGTTGACATTTTTGTCAGTTTTCTACATAATATATGACAATAAAATGTAATTTATGAGAGGAGTCTTAGCATAACAGTAATGTGTGGTACTTTACATATGTGAAAAAGTCAATTAAACACATTTAATTGCAATCTACACTAAACAAAAATATTGACTTTTAGTTGGTTGAAAGAGTAGCGTTTTGTGAACTTACAGAGTATAACAACACAAAGAGTTAGAACAACTTCAACTTAAACAGAAAAGTTGAAATAAAAATATACTGTATATGAACACGGTGTTTAATGCGCATGCGCCAGACGTCATGATGACGCACTACTTCCCTAGAGTTTGAAAAATGCGCTGTTGTGTTTCTGCAATTGACTATGTGCACGAGAAAAATGCTAACTTCCGCCTTGAGGGCGGATGTTGGGTACTTCGGTTCCGGTTGCCGTTGTTTACATCCTACATCAGTGGACCGGCTATCTAAAGCTTAGCTATCTAAATATATTTGTCTAAAACTATGTTCGTTTGTTCATTGTCAAGTCAACCAACACAGTTTTCACTCATATTTGGGTGGAGCCAGGCGCTGCTGCATTGTGAAAAGTAAACGATATTTCACATTTTGTCACCGCACCCAAGCAGTCGCTTCACAGAGTGGAGCGTTGCGTATCCATGACAACTAGAAGGAAGTTTTTAGGCTACTAATTATTTATTATATTATACCCTTTAACCAGGAGAAGCCCCTGGGTTTAGAACCTATTTTGAAAGGGAGACCTGTTTAGAAATATGTGTGAACAGCCTAATATGTGTTAAACAGCCTAACTTGATAACGAACGAACCAACGTCGGATACCTTTACTCCCTGTATGACATGTATAGTGGTTGTCAACACTGATCTATATGACGATAGTGGTTGTCAACAACATAGCCTCTGAACATCATAAACAAAACAATGGCCAACACAAACTGTTCTGGAAAATGCACTTTCTAACGCATGATTTCGCATTTTATAATGTATAGAGAGAACAGTTACCAAATCGCATAGCTTGAGCACCTAGCATGGCAACATTAATGTCCGAGTGATTTGACGTGTACCGCGTATGTACACGCCGTCAAATGTCCGAGCGAAACAAAACAAAATGTAGATCTACATCTGGGGAGCGATATTTATTTTTTCCTAGGATGGTATACGGGTAGGTTGGGGTTGAGGTAGGTCATATGCTATATATATATATACACTGTGTATAATATATATATATATATATATATATATATATATATATATATATATATGAAGAGTTCAGATGCAAAAGCCTCTAAATGCCATTTGAAATTTTCATCTTTAATGATGATTTTTATCAAACTTGTATATTTAAGTTCAGTAATTTCACTTAAATAACAATTAATAGGTAATTATCATTGCCATTTAAGTGAAATTACTGAACTTAAATATAAAAGTTTGATAAAAATCATCATTAAAGAAGAAAATTTCAAATGGCATTTAGAGGCTTTTGCATCTGAACTCTTCATATATATATATATATATATATATATATATATATACAATAATAACGTTAAGTCAACGGTATTCATAAACACGCTGAAAAGAGATTATGCGTGTTGATAGCATGCCAAAAATACGTGATACGTGTCATACATACGCAATTTCATGAGATCAGTCTGAGCATGGATGTTGTTGTGACTTAACGTTCCCTTCAAAATGATGCAAATACTGAGAAATGTAATATTTAAACCCCTTCTCTCTTGCTCTGGGGAGCTGGAGGAAAATCATTAGCCAGTCGATGAACATAATCGACTGTAATATTCGGCGAATGTTCAAGACATCTGGAGAAACATACATCCTCTACGTCGTCCATCAGGCTAACCGGAAACTAGACACCCCATATCGGTTTCGCAGCCGGAACTAGCATATGCTAACGTGCACATAGTCCATCGCGATGCATGAGGAAATGAAAACAAGAGAACAAAAGGAGCGCCACGTTTGGCTGTTTGCAGATGAGATGTTATACTGCAAATAATTAGTCAAGTAAGTATATCTTGATGCTTTCCTTATTGATTTTTTTTTTCACCGCAGTTGATATTGCGATGAGTGCTTTTTAATCGCAGATAGTAGCATTGCTATACGCAATATAGATTCGGGAGCTAAATTGATCATGTTTCCAATAATTTATGTGTGACGCTGATGAGGTAATTCATCACATCACACATTCATCAACAGTTAGCAGTCAAAAGTTTACGTACACCTTGCAGAATAAACTGCTTCATCAGGGTAGTACTATAAACAAAAAGACAACATATACATTTTTGTGTTCCCTCTTATTGCTAAAATTACTAACATTTTGCAGATACTGCAAGGTGTATGTAAAACTTTAAAGGGAAAATATCTATCACTTTCATTCATTTGAGCCAAATTTAATAATGGACTGGATCTGTTTTATAAACAATTTTTTTTTTTACTTTTTTTTTCTCAAGGTATTTTTTCCTGACTTTCCTGCCTCTTTGGAACAAATCCATTCACATTTACTTTGGAGAGCACCGGGACATTGACATAAACAGGACTTTCCAACTACTTCAAAACATTTTATTTTATTTTTATTTTTTAGACAAAATTATATTCACTGTAATGCTGAAGTAAGCTTGTCCTCTTTAATGTTGGTGCTACGAAAAGGTTTAAGAGCTAAAATTAACCAGGTTTGTTAACACTTTAATTAGGTTTCATTTGTTAATGTTATGTATTAGCAAAACATGATCTAAAAAAATGAGCATTTTTTACAGTATTTATTAATCTTTTTTAAGATTAGTTCATTCAAATATAGTTTGTTAAAGTTAGAACAATTTATAGTTATTGTTCATACAAGTTCACAGTGCATTATAATTTTTTAGTACACAACTTTTGAATATAATAATGCATTATTAAATGTTGAAATTAAAATTAACTAAGGCTAACAAATGCTTCAAGTATTATTCATTCTTAGTTCATGTTAACTGAAGGAGTTAACTAATAATACCTTTTTCATTACCCGTTTGAATCTTAGTGTTCACATTTTGCAACATCACATTTTGTTTGTATTAATTCATGGGTTGTGTATTTGATGTAATGTGTGTTTGCTTCTAAAATTATGTTTGTACTGGTAATCCCTAGGTTATGGAGACCAAATTACCCCAACAGTATAGTAATACCAGTAATTTACATGGAAACAATCTTATAAATCATACAGAATATGTTTTCTGAAAATGTCTAAAATTCTGTCATCATATACTCACCCTAACTTACATTTAAGTGATCTTATGAATCACTGACAACTCTTAAATAACTGGTTTGTAAATAATGCTATACTTCATTAAGAAATGATTAATTGATCATTAACAAAGTATGAAACTACAATTATTAAACACATTATAGATATGCTTATAAATCAAGAAAAAAACATTTATTGCTGTATTTAGAAACTTATTATTAATGTCTATTAATGCTTTAAATGATTAACTGTTAACTCATGCTTATAATGAATAATAGTGTGCAGTTAAGTGTTACCTTTCTTTCTTCTGCTGAACACAACGAAGATATTTTGAAAAATGTCAGTAACCAAACAGTTAACTGGTCCCATTGACTTCCATAGTAGGAAACAAAATACCATGGAAGTCATTGGGACCAGTTAACTATTTGGTTACTGACATTTTTCAAAATATCTTCATTGTGTTCAGCAGAAGAAAAATTCATACAGGTTTGAAACAACTTGAAGGTGCGTATAATGACAGAATTTTCATTTTAAGTGTTGTAACCGTTTGTTTCTTGGGTTTTTTCTTGTGCATCAACAGAAAGGTTTTTATGTATTTATTTTAGAGATTGTTTTGTCAGTAAATATAGAGGGTTTTAAATTGAATTTGTGTTGATTGTAACTATATAGGTTATTAAGACTTTTTTTGTCCAAATTTGAAATAAATTGCAACTATATTTTTTTTAATTAAAAAAATGTATTTAATGTAATAAACAAGTACACTATTATATAATTAAAGTATGTTTTTGTTGACATTATTTGCTTGTCAGTATATTTGGAAGTACACTTTTACCATATTTCAAAAAAAAACTCTTAATATCAACTAATAGCATTTAATTTGAGCTTAATCTGTGATACATTTGAAATCAATTACACATAATATGCATCAAGTTTGTCGAAAACATTACACTTAATTTACACTTAAGTGTATTGTTGACTGACATTAAAGTATATTTTAGTTCACATTAATTGCGTCATTATATTGTGTAGTGCACTTTAACTGTATTTTAAATACACTGGAAGCAATTGTGAGAGTGTATGTAAAGTTGTATTAAAGTACCAATTATGTTGTTCCAAAAAATCACTCTTAATGGCAACTTATTACACTTTATTTCAACTTAATATGTGATATATTTGAAATAAATTACACTTAATGTGCATTCAGTGCCCCGAAAAAATTGTATTTAATTCACACTTAAGTGTATTGTTGACTGACTTCAAAGTATATTTTTAATCACATTAATTGTGTGTCATCATATTGTTTAGTGCACTTTAACTATAATTTAAATACACTAGAAGCAATTATGAAAGTATATATAAAGTTGTATTAAAGTACCAATTAAGTTGTTCCAAAAAATCACACTTGATTGCAACTTATTACACTTTATTTCAACCTAATATGTGATATATTTGAAATAAATTACACTTAATGTGCATTCAGTACCCCGAAAAAATTGTTTTTAAATCGCACTTAAAGGGTTAGTTCACCCAAAAATGAAAATTAAGTCATTAATTACTCACCCCCATGCTGTACCAACCCCGTAAGACCTTCGTTCATCTTCGGAACACAAATAAAGATATTTTTGATTGAATCTGAGGGCTGGATCACTTTTCCATAGACAGCCTGAGGGACTGCCTCTTGACGGCCCAGAAAGTCATTAAAGTCATGGCTCAACTATAACTTTATCAAGCGACGAGACTACTTTTTGTGCGAAAAAAAACGTAAATAACGACTTTATTCGACTTTCCATTACTTCCTTATGGGCGCATGCGCGAGAACTGAGACGAGACCGTTCTTCTTCGACTACTTTTTGTTACCGGCTGCTCACCGCTTAGGAGTTTTACCGCCCCCTACCGTATAAGATGACGTACTGCTTGTAAACAGAACGTTTTGCGCCTCCGGCTATATCAGTACGTCATCTTATACGGTAGGGGGCGGTAAAACTCCTAAGCGGTGAGCAGCCGGTAACAAAAAGTAGTCGAAGAAGAACGGTCTCGTCTCAGTTCTCGCGCATGCGCCCATAAGGAAGTAATGGAAAGTCGAATAAAGTCGTTATTTACGTTTTTTTTTTCGCACAAAAAGTAGTCTCGTCGCTTGATAAAGTTATAGTTGAGCCACTGTAGGCACATGGAATATTTAAACCTTTTATTTTAATGACTTTCTGGGCCGTCAAGAGGCAGTCCCTCAGGCTGTCTATGGAAAAGTGATCCAGCCCTCAGATTCAATCAAAAATATCTTTATTTGTGTTCCGAAGATGAACGAAGGTCTTACGGGGTTGGTACAGCATGGGGGTGAGTAATTAATGACTTAATTTTCATTTTTGGGTGAACTAACCCTTTAAGTGTATTCATTTAACGTGTTTTATTTTTGTAATAAGTACACTTTATAAAAGTACACTAAAGTGCACTTTTTTTTTCACAAGGGTATTCTTATACAAATTATAACGATCACTAACCGTGCAGTTTGCAGTTTGCATCTTTTGCAGATCGACAACATAATACAGCGTGCAATTCACGTGCGACAAAACGGCCGTTTTAATATAGACGAAAAACTTAGGAACACTAACTACAAGAATACACTTGCAATATAACATTAATATTCAAATAATACTGGACTTACTTGTCCTTTACTCGTACCATGTCCTTATAATGCAAGCAATCCCGCGAACTTTCCAGTCAGAAGTTACAGCTGCTGCAACTCTATAGCGCTACGCTTATTCTCAGTGTACTAAATCAGCGTAGGCTACTCAACTGCACTGGTTGCGTACTATTCAGTGACATACAACGCTAATTCTGTGCGCATCTACGTTATTATACTAAACATGAAGAATTTAGAACAATAAGTCATAATTGAACCTGTTGAAGATTGTTCAAATATAATTACAATTTTAAAAGTTAATTGTCACGTTTTAGAAGATAATTGTCACGGTGTGGTGCAGGCAGAGGAACAGGCAGAGTCCAGAAGATCAATTAATATAACTTTTACTCACAGAAGAACAGGCAAGGATACAGGTAGACGGGCGCAAACACAGTGTAACATTCACATTGACCGACAAAGACTGACTGAATGAGGGAGAACTAAATACAAGCAGGAATCAAACATAATGATGCGAAGACAGGTGAAACTGATGAACAAGACGAGGAACAGGTGGCTGATGAGGGAGTGAGTTCAGGAGTGGAGACAAGAGGATCCTGGGAAGTGTAGTGCTGATGACAAGACAGACTGGTGCAGACGAGGACTGTGACAGAACTCCCCCCTCCCGGAAGGCGTGGCCTCACGCCGTAGAACAGAGGGAGGGAGGATGACCTGAAGGCTGACCGGGCGTGGCCAGGGCGGAGCAGGCTGAGGGCGTGGCCATGGCGGAGCAGGCTGAGGGCGTGGTCAGGGCGGAGCAGATGGAGGGAGGACCCATGGTGGAGCCGATGGAGGGAGGAGACGAGACGGAGGCGGGGCTGACGACACCAGGGGGCCGACTGACAGGGGCGGAGCAGATGGGAGAGGAGACCGGGGTGAAGCCGTAGGGCCGACAAGATGGGGTGATGATGAGGGACAGAGGGAACATGGTGACACTGTAGGCTCCGGTGACAGAAGTGAAGACAGGGGCACAGAAGGACACGGTGTGGACAGAGGGAGTGAGGACCGACGGGGCACTGAGGGGAGTGAGGAGTCCAACAGAACCGGGGGGGGGGGGGGTGGAAGGACGAGGCGAAGCCGGAGGATGGAAGTCCATAGGTGAGGTAAGAATGACGAGGGACCAAAGTGAATCCGGGGGGACGAAGGAGCCTGGCAGAACTGGTGGACTGAGGGGCCATGGTGGAGCTGAGGGAGGTAGGAAGAGAGGAGAAAGGGAGGAAGGGAGGAAGGGGGAGCAGATGGGATGAAGGGCCGAAGAAGTGTCCATATAGAGGAGGTTGGAGGCAAAGACCGGGGATCCATAGACCAGGCTGGTTTCAGAGAGTAGCAGCAGAAGTTAAATTCAGATAAAATTAAAAAACAAACATAACTTAATATCACTAAAATTAAATAGAAAGCTGCACTTACAGACGCTCACATCCACACAAGTAAACAACACTGAAGTCTTCACTTCCAGGTCAAGAAGCTGTCAATCAAAAACTCAGTAGCCAATGAGAATACACTGCTACTAGCCCCACCCCCACGAGAGATGTGTGTCAGAACAGCGAACAAAAACTCTGAAAGTGTAAACGAAAACTTCAGAAGCGTAAAAGAAAACTTCAGAAGCAAAAGAAAACTTCAGAAGCGTAAATGAAAACTCTGGAAGTGCATTTGTAAGTTTAGATCAGTAAAAGAAATATGAGGAATAGTTAGCAAAACATGCAGTGTATTAAAAACAAATTTAAAAAAATTGCTTGCGA